TATATATATATATATATAATGATTCATACATATATAATGATTCATGAAAATTTAAACTTGTTCAGAAAAATATGAATATATAGATACTTTAAAAATAAATAATGAATAATAAAATATTTTAAGGGTTGGGTCATGAATATTTAAGCATATTCAGGAAATACTTGAAATTGTTTCCATAAGTTTAATGACTACTTGATACTTGAATCGCTTCACAAATCGAATCTAGAATATGAAAATTTCTTGATGAATGATTCATGTGCATTTAAATTTGTTCTAAGGTTATGAGTCCAACAAGGGTTATAACTTCTGGAGGAAGCTTGATGGTGCCCAACCCTCTTCGTCACCAATACGAACTAACCACCAGCCACTTGCATGCTCCTCTAACACTTCCACTTCAACTCCTTCTGCAAAGCCAATTCCTTCGACATCCTCCTTCTCAAATTGGCATGTGGTTATGTACAGATTTGAGGATTTTCTTGCAAATACTCTCTTCACTTCCTCACTTAATTCGTCACCAGAGTCCATATTATTTTGTTTTTTGATGACTGGCTTTCCTGCAGATTTCAATTTGGCCCTAGCTGTCGACAATTCGTTTGTCTGTACTGTACCATTGCTTTCTCCGCCACCAAGATCTCTTGGACTTTTCCTGTCAGCCTGCTGCCTCGGGCTTCTCCCGCCACCTACCTGCCTTGGGCTTCCACTACCGCCAAGCTGTTTTGGGCGATCTGGAATTAATGGTTTCACAGGTACTGGATGAATGACTTGTTTGTTATAAGGCTGAAACGCGTGTCCTCCCATCTTAGGAGTATTGTCTGTCACTTTTACTGTATTATTGTTATTGGATGGAGTGTCGTCGGCATTTGAAGGCATCTGTGTGACAGGCCTTTTCTCAATAAAGGTAGCAGGAACCCATCCCTCTTCATTGTTGATTTTTACAAGCCACCATCCGCTTGAGGATTTCTCAATCACCTAACAAAATAAATGAAAAGATAACAATAATAAAAATTGAAATAAATATGAACAATTACAATAACAATAATATTAATACTGTATTAATAATTGTAATAAGGCCAAAAACAAAAATATATTGCGATACCCTCCACAAAAGACCATAAAAATAAGTTTGAATTGGGTCTTCTTTTTTCTTGAAACAAATTTTATATTTGAATACTCACTCACTTACAAAAAAAAAAACATTATTTTCTTTCAAGCTAACAGCAGGGAGCCTGCCACTTCCAGAACAGAAAGAAAAATGATGGCAATGATACAATAATTATGATTATGACAATGATATTAATGATAGTAATTGTTACTGTCGTGATGGAATAGACAATAACTGGATTTGCATATATATATAGGTGTAATTTTTTTTTTGCAATTGTTTTCATACATACTGAGTATTCAGTACATTTCCACATTAGGTAGGGCAAAATTACACTTACACTTGATTCTTCTGATGTAAATCCAGTTATAACAATTAAAATTACTATCAACATTGCAGTACTCGAATTCAACCCTGGCCATCAGACGCAAACTTGGTGGTCTAGAGGTATGATGCCAGGCTAGTGATCTGGAGATCATGGGTTCGAGTCCCACCCGAGAACAACTTGCGATATTTTTTTCGCAATTGTTTTCATACGTATTGAGTATTCAGTACATTTCCACGTCAGGTAGAGCAAAATTACACCTATACTATAAGCAATATTAATATTATGAAAATAAGAACAACAATAATAATGATAAAGTTAGAAGACATGATCTAATATGGAAAACGTAAAGCCTCTTTTATTTTACTGTATTATTATTTGCACATTACTAATGTGCTAAAAATATCAAGATTAATTATTTGATCTGTTCCTGGATTTTGGTTTTCTTGAGTATCAATTGCAAGCTCTCTTTTAAGAACATAATCCAGCCAATGCCCTTATCATAATGAATCAGCCAATTTATTTCTATTATTTTATGAAGTCATAGTCACATAGTAGCAATTAGAACTAATTTAGACTAGCGCACAGTATATTATCAAATATTAAAAATCTACTCCAGCGTAAACCTCTGAGACCCCTATGAACAGCTAACAAATATGTATGTCAAATGTCTCACAACTTACTCGAACGTGCGCCAAAATTTCCAAAAAAACGTCGAGCACACATCGGCTCTATTCACTACAATGACAGGGGCTAAAGAGTAGTAAATTTAACAGACCCCCACCCACAGCATTGCACATCATGGCCTACAGCCAAATAGAGATGAGAAGACCAGCCTGTGAACTCTGACCTCTGGTTTAAACTTTACCTTACCATTCGCGTATTTAGAATCTTGAACCCCACCCCACGGAAAATGTTCTAAGCAAAAGAATCACGCTCAAGTAGATAAAAATCAACTCATATTACCTTATTTTGCGAGCTTTCTTCCCCTCACTTAATAATCAAGCACCCTCACTTCACCTTTGAACCCCTTCAGTCCCCCACCCCTCCCTACCATTTGAAGACTCTTAGATATGCCACAGTACCCAGGGATGGATCCAGAATTTTTCAAATGGGGGACACAACATATTCAGAATAGATAAGCGAGTAGCACTAACTTTAGTGGCAAAATGGGAGTGGGGAAACGTGTCCCCTGTGCCCATTGGTACCTTACCACAAAAAATATGCTGTATAATAATAATAATAAAAGATAATAACCTCAACAAGTAGGCCTTTCTTGAAGCTAATTCCATCACCCACGTGGTTGGCATAGTCCTCTATTGTGTAGTAGTCCATGGGAACTCGATTGACTCTTCTTATTGCACCTGTGCTTCTCCGGTTTTTAAGAGATCTCTATTAAATAGAAAGTTGTTGAATAGCTGCATTAGTAAATTACAAGTAAAGATATGAGTTGGTAGCACTTTAAATCCTACAATAATATTTATTTCACAAACTTCACCCCAGGTATAGTATATACATTATGAAGCCCCCATCAATTGTGGCGACAACTCATCACATACAGTAAATATTACTCATTTATTTACTTCTATTAAATAGAAAATTTTGACTAAAAAAACCTAAAAATATTTTGAAAATGACTTTTCTTTCCGTAAAAATACCATTAATGGAAAAGCAGTTGCAAAAAAAAAAAAAATTATCAGACAGTATAATATTTCCTTTATAGTTCTATATTTCTTTGGGGAGGGGGGGGGTTACCTTAAAAAATATTACCCAGACCTACATGACTTGTTCTTTAGCAATAATAATAATAATAATAATAATAATAATAATAATAATAATAATAATTATTACTATTATTAAAATAACAATAATATAAAAACAACAATAATAATAATACTATAATAACAATGATAATCATAATAACATTGACAACAATAATACTAAATATAATTATAATAAGAATAACAAATTTTGACTTCAATACTTGTATTACATACCAGCCGTTACTGGCGAAACCCCAAGGTAGGACTTGAATGTGTAGTTCAGCTAACTTTTACAAATACTGAATTCTAAATATTGGCTTTTAATAGCATACAGTGCTAAAAAAAATTGCCTTTAATTCAAAAAGAAATTTCTAATGTGTAAGCCCACCCCAAAAATTGTCCCAATATTGTTTTCATGGGAGGTGGGAACTACGGTAATAATATCAATATTCATATAATATAATAATTTACAAAGTCAATAAATGGAAGTACTGTACCCTAACGGTTGACCTTCTTGGTGGTGTTGGCTTGCTCTTATTATCCAATCGCAATCCTATTGATATGAAATGAAATTTTAAATGACAATTTTATAAGTAACAAAAACAACTTCCCCCTCAACAACAGGACTTAGATTATTTCCCACTTCCCGACCACAATAGAAGCTACTGCGTCACAGGAAGGCCGTTATTCGGAACTAACCCACACTCACTGAAAATGTCAAGAATTCAACTACCTGTGTGCTTGTTATCTATTGTTTGTTTACATAAGGATTCAAATATTCAATAAGATTAGTTAATTAGTTTGTATAATATTGTACAGTTTCTAATCTTATAGATCACTCCATTTTATACAAAGGCCCAAAAGTATGGGATACCCTAACCATATCTTCAAAAAATAAATCTTGTGTTTCTAGTGTATGGCATGTAACCACTCTATATGGATTGTATACTCTTTTTTTTCTCACGTCCTTCTTTTGTACACATAAACCAATCAGTTAAAACTCCTCTACTCGTTGTTCCTTCCATTCTTTATCTGGCACAGTGCATTGAGTTTATCTGCCTTATCTTATTTTACTTATTGTGATACTGTAACTATAGCCTCAAGTTCTTATTTTATTATTTCACTTTATTTATTCCAAATATATCCACATTAAAAAACAAGTTACAAATCGTGGCGAAAGGCCAAATTGGTAGCAACTTTACAAGGTATAAAAGATCACAAACAAAATCCACAAAAAAAAAAAAATTGTTATTTTGGTGGCCTATAGCTAGTGTCTTTGGACATTTATAGGCCTCCTTGCATTATTACTATAAAAATAACAACAATTTTCTTTTTGAATGTAAATACAAGTATTTGATAATGGAGAATAAAAAAAATAAACAATTTATATAATGTAATCTTTTTATTAAAATTGGACCAGGAAAACTGTTATCTACTACAATACACCACCACAATGTGACAAAACTTGTACATTTTATTGTATATATTCATTTTATCTGCATATAATCCCCATGTAATGCTTGTCAACAGCTGAGTTCATTACCCTTAAGAATCACCCAGGAAAACAGGAGAAGGCATACACACAAGAAATTTCATGTAAGGGTTTGCTGGGATTAATAAGGGATGAGTTGTACTGTGGTAAAGTGCAGAAACTCATTAAGAACTATGAATTAAGAAGTCACTACAATTTCATTAACCAATGAAATAATTTACTATATTTTTTATTTACCCAATAAAACACATTTATAATATTAAAATGGGTGTCTCTGAATTTCCAAATAAATAGTTAATTTTAGCCTGACAAAGTCATTGCCATGTAGATTGCCAAAGTATACTCGGTGTCGGCCGAAAACATCCGTGGAGTGTATCTGTTGAATTGCTGTTCAACACTCCAGGTGGAACCCAACGGACAGGAACGGTGTGCGCATGCAGAGTACTTCTTATTGATTGAAATGGTAAGTTGCTTCAGTTTTGAATTTTTTAGAATCAGTGTTGTGTGAAAGTAAAGGCAGGCTCAGGTCGACACGGAACTCAACTCAACTCAACTGGTCGACATGAGCGCTCCGCGCAACTGAAAGGAACCGAACGCAACTGAAATCAACTGAACGGAACTGACCGCAACTGAAAGGAACTGACAGTTGCGCATATTTGTCAACATGAGTCGAGTTGAGTTGAGTTGAGTTCCTTTCAGTTGCCCATGTTCAACTTTTTGCGGAACTGAAAGGAACTGAAAAAAGCGTGAAACAATGCTGATTCGGAACTTAAAGGAACTGAAAACGTTGATCCTGTATTGTTTAATAAAATAAACACCTAGCTATAAAGTTTGTCAATCTTACAATAATATGGACAGTTCACAATTTAAATTTTGTCCTCTATGCCTACTTATCGTTAGTATAATTGTCAAGTGCGCTGAAGAAATAAATTGGAAATATGGTATAACCAGCTGGCCAATTACATAAATGTTTTAATTAATTACATTTACGTTACTCACATATGCCGCCATTCTTCAAAGTGATGTTGTTACTAAGAACACTACAAATTTTACAGTTTTAATTCGCTACGCGTGCGCGGTGCGCAGTGAAGTTCCTTTCAGTCGCCGGTCGACATTTTCAATATAAAAAAGTAAAGTAGATACACTTTTTAAAATAATTACATGTCTTAATAAAAACATTACAGACATTTTGCAGTTGATGGGATTTCACGCGGAAAATGCTTTTAGCCAATAGTTCCTTTCAGTTGCCAGTCGACATGAGTCAAGTTCCTTTCAGTTGCTCAAAGTCGACATGAGTTCAGTTCCTTTCAGTTGCGTTCAGTTCCTTTCAGCTGCGCGGAGCGCTCATGTCGATGAGTTGAGTTGAGTTGAGTTGAGTTCCTTTCAGTTCCGTGTCGACCTGAGCCTGCCTTTAGGTAACTTGTTCTAGTCGAACACTGTCCTTGGCCAGAAGGAGAATACAAAACAGTCTTTGTTGGCTGATGTGGTTTAGTAGGAGTTATTTTGCAAGTTTCCTTGTTGAAGGTTTGAGTGGCAAAAGGAAATCATTGAACAGCAGGGACAGGAGACCTGTCCTTTCCTTCTGAAGGATGGAAAGTATATTAACGGTTCTACAGAATATTAATTGAATCTGGTTTACTGCTTCCCATTCTATTAGTCATTAGTAACCAAGTGAACTGCCCTGTGTTGTATCACTTCAAGTTTATGAATGAGTTCTTTATGGTGTGGGTGAGATGCAAACTCGACATGAGGATGAACCAGTGCCATATATGCTGTTTAATTTGCTTAATACATGAATAGAGATATAATGTTAGCACTTAAATTTATCTTTGCTGAATAAAGTAGAATTAGAAGTACAAAGTCTACTATCTTTAAATTGGTGAATAGCCCTTGGCACGTTACTCGATGGAGCTGGCTGTCCAAAAAGAAGTCGACAAGAATTGGAAGCAACTTAAGAAAAAATAAACAGTAATAACTTTCTCACATCATATTAATTCTTCTAGATCGTACAATCTTTCTTAAGTATTAATTATTATGCAAATTTTGGGAAAAAAAATATCCCAATGAGAAAATCACCAGGAATACACTAATTGGTAAAGCAACCAACCAATAATCTAGAATCACTTAGAATTTACTATTTTGGTTATCTAAACAGTTGTCATTTATCAAAAATATGGAAGAAACTATGAACTGATTCCTTCAAAAAACAAGACTTTACTTACAAATCTGTTCTTACAAAAAGAACAAATTGTCCCTAGTTTAAAAGTTTTTCCTCAAGATGCATCCTACAATCAGATCAAACACCAGAACAGTTTAATTTCTACCACAGTACTAGAAAAATACTTCAGACAATTGTTGATGCGGTTGATTTAATTCAAAGTTAAAACCAGTGTTGGAATTTGCAATGTCGCATTATAAACTCTGACCTAGTTGAAACTTCATGACTCATCAACTTTCTTGTTTGTTAGGAAACTATTAAATGTATATCTCTAACAATAGGTATTAATAGATTGGAAGATATATTTCATTGTGTCTGATCATAGAGGGATTATTCTTTGTATTTGCACCATGGGGACTTCATGAATATAGAAATTGTGTTTAGAATAAAACAGCTTGTAGAAATTGACCTTGTTGAAGGTCGCTTCAAATACAGTATTCTTGTTTTTTCCATTTCATTTATTCGTCTCCAAAAACATAAAAACAGTACAATACACACTAAATATACAAAGAAACAGGAAACCCAAAAAGTGAACTAAATCGACTATCGAGAACAGAATGGGAAATACAGCCCTATCCGGATCGGGAGCTAATTGTTAGCACTAACTGTTAGCACCTGTGTGAGAATGCCTATTGGTATTGATATTTTATAAAGATTTTGACAAAAGTTATAATAGGTATACTGATAAATGGTGATATTCTAATAAAAAATATAGAAAGTTAAAAGGTTTTAAGAAAGTATGATACATACTCCATGTATTGAAATACACACCATTGTGTTGGGATTTAGTCAAAAAAAAATAGAGAAGGAAATACATTAGAAGTACACAATTTTAACACAGGACTAAAATGAAACAAATATTCTACCATACAGATATCAATGGGCAGTGATTTTCATTGTATAGGCGTAGAAACAGAAAAAGCTCTGTGACTATTTGTGACCGTCTCTGGCAAAACCAGCTGTTCGTAGGAAAAGTTCAAAATTGGATTTTTGGTGTTTTTAGTTTCTACATGAATACATCTTTAACACAATCAAGGGTCTGCAAACAAGAAAAGCTATGAGAGGAAAAAGGGAGAAAAGAAAAAAAAAGAAACTTTTTCTCTCCTTCCCCTTATTCAATAACTCTCTCTTAGCAAGACTTGGTGAAACCTCCTATGTTTTTTTTCCTGTCTTCCCTTGTCTTCCCTTGTATGCTTATGTCATTTATGTCTTTTGGTTGGTCATAATTTTTGATGTTCTCATTATTTTCTGTTGTAATTTGTGCAATTCCAAATTTTACTTCGCTTTTAAATGTCTTTTTAAAATCTTTTAAATCTTAAATTTTATAACTTTTAATGTTTTAATTACTTCACTTGGTAATAATTGTTATACTAATATAGTAATGATGAATATAATAACTATTGTAATAATTAAATAATAATGACAATAGTAATAATTACAATAATTATTAAGAATGATTTCCTGTTTAATTTACTATTTTGTAAATTTTTTCTCGAATCAGTTCTGCGAACTGAATTGAACAATGTTTATAGAATAAGATACCAGTACAGAGGCAGATCTAGGTTCACATTTGGGGGGGGGGGGGGGAAAGGGTCCGGAGATCCTCCCCGGGAAATTTTTTTTCACTAGATAGCAGGAAATGAGCTTTTCCGACTTCTGAGGATTCTTTTAATGACTTTTAAGTTCTTAAAAATTCAAGGTTTTCCCCCTCTTGAAAACGGTCAAGTAAACTTTCTCATTCTTATTACAGTAAATAGGCCTATTTATGTGTGTATACGTACATTTAAAAAAATTAGTTGCAGTTGCTTACATATTCTTTTTTTCATAAATGGATAACACCAAAGAAAAGGGGGCCCTCCCCGGGAAAAATTTGATCACTAGATGGAAGGAAATGAGCTTTCCAGACTTCTGAGGTGACTTTTAATGACTTTTAAGTTTTCTAAATTTTAAGGTTTTCCTCCGCTTAAAAACGGTCAGGTAAACTTTTCATTCTTATTATTGTAAATACTAGTAGCCCTACTATGTGTGTATGTACAGTACATAACAAAAATTGAGTCGCTGCATACATATTCTTTTTTCAAAAAATGGATGAATCCCAAATAAGACAGGGTTCGGGGGACCTCCCCGGGAAAATTTTGGTTTTTAGATGGCGATTCGTCATCTTTTCCATCATCCCTCTGCATGAATGTACCAGGAGCCCAGCCTTGTGCATCATGCACTGATATGAACCACCAACCCTGTCTCTTATACACATCTAGATGTGTATAAGAGACAGGTATTATTTCTAACCCTTTCCATTGTTATCGTTCCCCCTATGGTAATATATATATAATGTTTATTTGATAGAAATTGGTTGAGTATTAGAAAAGTTATGAATATTTAATTCATTCAATATCAGTTTTTAGAAAACAAGTTTTGCCAGAGTCGGTCACATTTTAGCCTAGAGGGTGGGAAAATGCAGAAGAGATGTGCCAGTGGTCAATCTGTGTGCTATCTGAAAAAATTTCAACAAGTCTTTAACTTACCACTAGAACTCTGCGGTCCCTTCAAGAACATGTTGCTTGCATCTGTACTGTCTGGGGTGGAACTTGACTTCTTGCCAATATCTTTGATTGAACCGATGATCTGTGTCGGTCCTGAGGGTTTGACGTTTGAGCGGTCAGGCCCTTTGTAGACCTGTAAATAGGCTGCAGGTACCCATCCTTGTTCATTTAAATACCTTTAAAAGCAAAGAATTATACATAAAAAGGTCAATTTATTGAAATATTTTAAATTACTATTATCAATATTATTATCACTACGATTATTATCATTATCATCATTATAATAATAATTATTATTATTTGTCAATAGCAATGGTATTATCTTGCTTTTCAATGACACCATCGATTGGTCAGGTATAGTGGTTTCGGTCTAATTTGACTCAGTTAGCAAGTTTTGTTTGCTTTGTACTGCCATTAACTGAAGGAACATTTTGGGGTAAAGTTGGTTTGGGCATATCATATTTGATAGTGTGGACAGCATTTAAAGATGACATTCAAAACTTACTTGACAAGCCACCAACCATCCAGACTCTTTTTAACGATTTCAACAACAGCTCCAATTTCAAAACTAAGTTCATCCTCCTGCTGTGCTTCGTACGCACAATTGCTAATGTATTTCTCATCTATAAGAATAAATACAGGTATGAAGTATTTAATAAAGTATATAAATACATGTAAATCTAACCACAGGTTGAAACTATATACTGTAACACAGATATAAAAGTATACGATGCATCTAATGTGTAGATAAGATTATAAAATATTTCAACTAATAATTAAAACTATTTATATAATATAATAGATAATACATTACTAAATTTTGTAACACATGTGTAATGTATGACACAGGTAGAAAGTATAGTATATAGTAGATTTTCTGCTATAAGTCCACTGCTTTGACCAAAACATTTGGCTGATATTTTTGAGGTGCGCTTATATTTATAATCCCCTGTTTATGAAAAAATTTACTTTTTTTTACACCTGTGTTGTATAGTTTCGACCTGTAGTTAAATAGATTTACCTGCATTTATATACTTTATTATATACATGGCCAATCAAATGGCAAGTTTTCAACAATGCATGCCAAGTTCTTTCTTTAAATATTTGGAAAGTCGGCTGGGCTAGTCAAATTATACCCTGGGATTTTGCCCGAGAAACACTGGAAAAATTGGACATAAAGTAGGGTGTGCGATTATACCTGAGGAACTATGGTAATACAATGTAAAGTTTATCAATATACAGTATGGCAGTACTAATGAAAAGGTAAATTATAAAAAAAGTGGAGTATACATATTTTTAAATAGAATAGATGTATATTATACAATACTTTGTAAAGGTAAATATGTACGGTGTAAATTATATGATGTTAGCGTAAAGTACAAAAAAATAAGTAGCTTACAATTGCCAACAATGAAATCTTCGTCATCTTTTCCATCATCCCTCTGCATGAATGTACCAGGAGCCCAGCCTTGTGCATCATGCACTGATATGAACCACCAACCTACATATCAAAAAGAACAATCTTAATTTTATTTCATTCCTCTAGCACAAATGGAAAATTGAGCACTGAAAAGAAAAAAAATATATAAACAAAATCCTGCTGTTGATGTTTCAGAATAAAATATAGGCCTATAGTACATTAGAGTTAGAAAGCAAATCTTTATTCTTTAAACACATGTAAACCTTGAAGTACTGTAGAGAGGTGGGATTTTCTCAAAATTAACTGACAAAGTCAATGTCTCCAAAAAAGATGGCTACCAATAACCAATACTCACTAAAATAACTTATATGTTCCTAAAAGTCACAACGCAATTTCATTTAATTTTCATTTCATTTCTTTAGGCACGAGCACCAAGGATATGCCAATAAGTGAACTTAATCACTGTCCTACTTGGCATATCCATTTAACAACAGGGGACATAATCATTTCATCATCATTTATTTCACTTGTAATTTGCAACTTAACTACTACAAGTGCCGAGGACCAAGGAGGCCGTAGGCCTGTAATTAAGGTCCCCGGACAATAATAATAATGGACAAGTACACCGGGGTAACCCCCAACTCTTCTCGAAGGAGAAGGAAGAAGGCCTACGGTTTTAAAGTCCTTATCCAAGAAGACTTGTTCCACCACAAGAACCTTTGGTGAGTGAGCCGTTCGAACAAACGCCGATATTAGAGCTGAAGGTTGCGGTGCCCCTGACTTAACCGCTCGGCCAATCACATTGCCATCACTCAACACTTTGTAGTAGTTGTAGTAGTAGTGGTCTCACTGAGAATTAGAAATTGCTTAAAACCAGTGTAACTTATAGCCATTGCAAGTTTTTTTTTTCTGCCGTAAAATAGATTTCTCAAATTTTTTAAAATTTGATGCATTTTCTAAAGAAATTTTGAAGTCTATTTCAATAACTACACAGCTTGGGATTCCATGTTTCCATTTATGATGTATCATAACTGATTCAATTTTGGTGTAATGTTTGCCCATGAAGCAGAAGTAACACCAATAGTAGACAAAAGACTTACCATTGTCCCCTTTTTCAAGCACTTCCACTTGTTCCCCTTCTTTTAACGTCACCTCGTTCTTAGCCTGCTTTTTGTAGTCGGCAATAACAACATATGTTTCGGACTGAATAGGGCCAGTAATTTCTTCAATATCTAGCAGAACAAAACAAAAAAATTATTCATAAATTTAGATAATTTAGATATTGAATACTTTCCTGTTTTATAAAAAAAAAAAAATAGATAAGCTGTGCTAGTCTAATATATAATAGAAAATAAAACTCAGGATATTCAGTACTTTTATGACTAGTTATTTATGACAGTACACAAGCTTTCGTGCACACAGTACAATAGTTTTTGTCAACGAAAATTTGGTAATCTGCACAAAGGTTTATATAAAAACTACAAAAAATGAAATTCATTATTTAATTTATATTCCAATCGGTCAATTAGACCTCAACTATAAAAACTTTAAAAAATATTGTCTCAACAGATACTAAAAAATATTGTTTGTACATTCTTTTTTATTTGACGCTATTTATATGAGTAATTTTTTTATTAATTCCACATTTTACAACAAACAATATAACTTTAAAATATTTAAATAATTACAAGTTACACTGATACTCAAAATATGAATTTAAATATGATAAAATGATTTTTTTAAAAATATGAATTGTATAAAAACAAACAAAAACCCCAACACAAAAAGTGAATACACAATCACAGAATGTGGGTACACAATGGAAACCATAAAAACCAAAGTGAAAGAGGAATTAAAATTTTAAAATACTGTATGAAAACAAAGCCACTCAATAGTACATACAACACATAATAATTCCGTTTCCATGCTCCCCGTTGTGTGAAGTATGTGGAAACTAAATTAACCTTCATTACTTATACTTTAAATATATTTCCTGGGAACCACTATAACTTTGTTTCCCCAGTGAAAGGTGTTAATAAGACACTTTGGAAACAATAAACTGATTCTGCAATGTTTTTTACAGCTAGTCATGTAATGTGAGTGAACCATGGAAAACATTACGGTGTGATCAGTGTATAGGAAAAGGTATTACGTTTAATGGTTGCGAAAACAAAGACCCACTGTTAACATGAAAAATAAATGGCAATGAAATGCAATACGATTATTCAAAATAGTATTTATTTACTTATTCTACTGTTTTCCTTTCATAGTATGCTTTGAAATTTATGTGATCCTTCCTAAAAGTTAGCTAGCCTAGAAATAGCGGCGACGTTCAATGGTTGAAGACTCTTGTACATATACCTAAACAGGTCATAGATATGCAGGGGCCTAGGCCTAACATTTGTCGAAAAATCTCAATGTTTGGGGGCCAGAACATTTTGGAACATTAGGAAACCATTAAAGCAAAATCCTCAAATTCAATTACCAATAACTTTGGTACAGTTTACTGGAATCCAACCAACATTTGACTTAGAGTAAATTAAATAATGTTCAAAAGAACAAATATGGCAATTATGAATGATAATTACAGTAGAAACAAGGGACAGCCACCATACATAGCAATCTCCATGTAAATGCCGCCATGCCAATCCATTGTTTACATCCAACAGCCATTATAGTTTACGTGACCACAGTCGCGGAATTGGTCTATTGTTTAGAATCATTTTATATTTTAAAGCCAGACTCCGGTACAACATATCAAAACATTTTCCCTCCAGAGGCTGGCTTTAAAAATTTTTTTTAATTACTTATACTTTAAATAAAGTCCCTGGGAACCACTAGAACTTTGTTTACCCAGTGAAAGATGTTAATAAGACATTTTGGAAACAATTGATGATAACACTTTATACATTTATGCCAAGCACAAAAGAAAAAATGCTTGAAATGTTGTAAAACATATGAAAACATTTTTTTGTCTACAGGCTGGCTTTAACAAATTTGTGTTTATATTTTAACAAATATTTTGACCAATAACACTAACAATCAATATAATAATAACACCAAGAATAATAACATTTTGTAAACTACAAATAACAACAGAAGCAAAGAAGGCAGTAGTGCAGTACAATGCAAGCAGACGTGTTTCAGACTTCTAGTAAATGTTCCAATAAGTGCTTGAGCGCGAAGCTTGAGATCAGTACCTTTTTCAAGAAGACGCTTACAAAATTAATTGTACTGCAACAGTGGTACCCTGTTTATATTCCTAGCTGGCTTGTTTCACTGTTACATTATTTAATCTATTAGAAATTGGTTATGTATTGGTTTCCCAATGATGCCAAATTTCAAAGCATTTTGGGTATGTACTTTTAAATAATACTGCAGTGTTTGTTTTAAAACAGTTTGATGCTTATATGGAAGCAAAAACAAATCATGTTTGATATGGCGCTTATCCAAGACTGGCGCCATTTTCGAGAGGGGTACTTAATGGAACATTTACAGTACTTGACAATACCAATTGACTCCTAAATTTAAAAAAAAAATGATTTTATATTTCAACAATGCTTTGTGAGGTTGATGCACGTAGCTGAAGCCGATTATTTGAGGCATGTTGTGGCAAAATGGCTAAGTTGTAGCAACAATTGAAATTCAAGTTATTGGTATTTTCAGAAACCTGAGTATGTGATCTTTAATTCATTCAATTTGGACATTTCAAGCCTAAGTTATAGGAAAGTGAAAGTACAGTACTCTTAGAGTCAAGATAAACATTATTTTGAGTAATTGCCTTTCAAAGTTATTTATGCATACATTGTTTAATAGAATGAACTATAAATATAACATTAAATAAACAATTTGTTAACCACTTCCAGAACTAATACTTTGGGACATGATTAACAAGACATTAAACTGTTGATCTATAGTGAAAAACAAATTTGGATTTTTAGGTAATTTTTTTGAGCTCCCATATTTTATAGCTCATTTACTCAATACTGGACTGTGCGACAACTTAACCATTTCGCCATAACATGCCTCATTTGAGACTACAGAATCAAGATAAATGATAAACCATTCAAATAAGTTTTTACAATAATTTTTTCCTTTTTGTCCAATTCCAAATATATGAAATTAGAAATTTTGGCTGGGCACCTGGAGGCCCGCGGCAGCCTCATATCTTATTACTAACTGATGGTCAGTAAAAGTTTTTTTTTTTCAATTAGTCACGTTTCAACAAAGAACGGAAAATATCCCCACTAATTATATTGCATCGTTTGTCAAATTCAAAATGATTCTTGTTGAGGGGAGAATTTTTATATACCTTGATTTTTTTTTTAATCGTTTAGAATACAGAAAACAAAATAAAATGTAATTTTGTTTTCTCATTTATGTAGTAACAAAGTTTTTCGAAAAGCTGCCAAAAGCATCTTATCAGACAAGGAATACAGATTTATTGACTACTGACCTTCCTCAAAATTCTCATTGTCCTAAATAATGTGATGCAAACAGGTTTAGTAAACCAACTGTTAATGCTTCATATTTATGAGAAAGAAATAAAGATTTCTTATAGGAAGTTTTTATGGTGACTGGATATTGTACAAATAAATTAAGTTTTCCATGAAATCATGAAGGGTGTGCTAACAAGCAAAAAATAAAGATGTTTTTTAATTCAAAATCATATTATCTACGAGTTTGTAAAACAATGTATAAAAAAATCTATCCTAAGTTTTGATATCTGACAGACATGACAAAGACAGGTGAACATACTGTATATTAACTAATACCATCATGACAGTACTCACTTTTTTGTGCTAAATCAAAATGCAGAGTAAAAAGAAAGAACATTTAATTAGTGTTAGAATGCTATATTGCACTATATCACCATTATCAAATAATTAAAATAATTTAATAAAATTCTACTTTAAGCATAGAAGGTGAATTTGTATAAAAGAAGCATTAGTATAATACACTGGCACTATATCGAATTTATAAAATAATTAAAAATAATAACAATTAACAGAATTGCACTTAATAAAAATCAGGTTGCTGCTTAATTCCTACTGCTTGGTGGACAACTGCGTACAAATATTAAGGAAGCAATGCTTCCACAATATCAAAATTTGAATTTATTGTTGTATTTTTAAATTTTCTTACCTGATTTGTCTTTTCCAGCTGAACTAAAATAAGAAAAAAAAAAACATTTTATGAAAATCAACAAAGAAATTTGGTTCAGATTCCTGGGGACCAAGTCACGACACAACTAATGGCGTAATAACAATGGGCTCTCACTGGAATGCATAGTTTTACATTTTAGATCTCAATAAGTTGAAAAAAATTATTATTAATACTGTTAGTTTGAAAATATTAATAAAAAACTGCTTACTCTTTTTCCGTTGGTGGATTTATATCCTCAGGTGTAGGTGTGAAGAAATCTATTACCTCTTTACTTTCTGATATATTAATTGGGAGCCTCACTAGACTCTAATGGAATAAAAATTTCAAGGGTAAGTTTCATGTGAAGTCCTCTTCAGCAACAGGATATGTAGTCATTGCCACCGCCTTTGTTTTCATCATCATCTTAATAGTACCATCATTGTCTTTATAACCATCACCACCTGATCATCAATTACACCGTAGTCATCACCGCTGCTGGCATCGCAGTCAACATCTTCACCATTATCAACATCAACATTATCATCAGCATCATCATTACTGCATCATTAATCTCATTAGTATCATCATAATCATCATGATCACTATCATCATCATCATTTTTATAATCATCATTTGTATTTTCATTATTCACAATCTTTATTCTCATTATTACTCGTCAATATCATAATTATCTTGTTATCATTTATAACAAGCTGAAATATGGAATTATGTTCACTTTGTGAGCTGAAGACTTTGATGATCTATGTTGTTACAGTTTTACAGACAAGTAGGTTTTGAATCCCCAACGTTATCTGACGTAGTGTTACATTAGTGTGCCTATAGCCTTTGAAATACGCGTAATTATAATATAAACATCTTCATGACTTTTTAATCTTCACTGTTTTTCCTTTATCATATCATCTTTGTCATCACTATAATAACCTTCATTGTCATCATAATCATAAACTTCAAAATTGTCATGACCATCATTGTCAGAGTTAAGATCGCCGTAATCCATTTTCAGCTTATTGTGCATAAATATGCTAATTACGCCTTGCTCTATCGTTCCCTTGACTATCATATTATGCGAATTTCACAGTAGTCTCTCGTTCACCTGTCGAATATTCTTATGCAAATTGCGTGCTATATTCTCTGCGGAGGAATGACTGATGTGTTGGATACCGTCTTGCGTAGCGATATCGGTTTAGTATATAATAATTCTGCGCTGACGCGGGAGGGTTGGTTGAATTTGAATCAGTTGCAACCGATAATGACGTACGTAACCGTGGCTTAGTCCAGGTCGCTATACACACTAGTATTGCCATAGACAGTAGAGTAAGGCTAGTTTAAAGCCTCATGCAGGGTAATGTTTCTGCGGAAACTGTGATAAGCTAGGACCACAGTGACAAGCAGGTTAGACTTCAAAGTAGAATGGTGCGCCATTCAGGAGTGAATTTCTATCTGGATTTAATCCATTATTGATGATCTTGAATTTGTATATTGATGATCTTGCTAGATGTGTATAAGAGACAGTATATATATTGCCAATGATGATCCTGAATGTGTAAATTGATAATCTTGTGGGATGTGAAGACCAGCTAGAATCCAAAAATGTTAATTTATGGTTGCTGTATCAAATATGATTTATGTTGCACGTTAGCCAGAGTAACGGAAATCGTTAACTTGTGGTTGAGCGTATACACATTAGCCGGAGTTGAGTGTGATTGAAACCAAAACACTGATTTGCGTTGGATGCACCTTAGCCAGAGTAACTTGCGTTTGGAACACGTTAGCTGGAATAAGTGCAATCAAAACGGGTAGCAGTGATTGGTAGTTGACGCACACTAGCCAGAGTGAAGTGTGAACCAAGGACACTAACTTGTTTTGTTACATATCTGGAGTGATGCATCACAACCACGTATTCTATTGCACAACATTATTCATTTGATGAAATATGTTAATGCGTATTAAATATATATTGGATTAATGTTATATGTATAGACCTATTAAGTGTATAAGCCTATATACAATATGAAATATCTATGAATATATTTTCCATGTAATGATATTGTCTAGATTATACATTCACTACTGGTGCTTACCAAGTGTAACTCAGTTAAGCAATTCAATATTGACAGGCCTGGCTTAACTTATATTTTACTTTGTTTATAGTGATGTGTGTGAGTAATTAAACATTGAATATAGCAATTAATTGTTTTGGTCATCCCCAGTATTACTACAGTTCCAGTACCATTGTTGATTGTGATGAATATTTCGTCACCATAGTACATCCCTCTAAAATTAGAGGTGACAATTATCATTATCATAAATTAAGTAATCTGCTTTTCCTTTGTCACCATAATTATCATAACCATCATTTTCATCATCCTTATCATAATTTTCTTGGTCATTATCTTTATTATTTAATATGATAATCATCTTTGTCACCACCATCTTTATAATTTTACTCATTATCATACCTTTTTGTCGTTAATACAATTTCCGTTGTCATCATCAACTTCATCATAGTAAAGACTTACCTTGCAATAATCATTCAAGGGTTTTTGTCGTTTTGCAGCAACCTCACGGGTATGACTTCTCCCAAGCAACTTCTTTCCTATAAAAATAATTTTAAACTTTTCATTTGGCCCACTAAAAAAAGTTGATTAGTTTATTGAAAAAAAAATTTTTTTGAAAATTTTTTTTTTTCTTTTTTATTTTTATTTATTTATTTTTTTTTTTGGAAGTTTTTATTTTTGGAAATTTTTTTAGTAAATAGTAGATATTGTTTGTATTATCTCAACCATGTACTGTGTTTTACTTGAATATCAATGCACCAGCAAATAAAATATCTCATTATCTACTCTTAGAACTTCCTAATATGTATAATTTTAATAAATGAATAATGTGGAACTTAAATAAACCCTCATTAATATGATAATTAGTGACAATTAGAGAAATTTATTTTAATTTAAATTTGACTGAGCCTGGATTAGAAGACAAACACTGTCACCATCAAGATGTATGACTGGGCAAATAATTCAAATCCAGTATGCATAGATTGGGGCTACTGCAGGAAACTTAGTTTTGTGTATGCGCGCTGCCACGTTATAATTTGATCAAGCGTTTCCAGAATGCACATTTTAAAAATTAAAAATCAATTAGTGATCACGTTTGTGCATATTTTTATTATAAAATAATCAAGTTGGTGCAAATTATTATTATAAAAAAAAATCATTCAGGCTTCAATGCACAATAAAAGAGGGAATATGGATTAGAAGGAAAAGAAACAACATGAATAGAGATGAAGGAGTCTACGAGCTATCGCATATTTACGACGACCTTCTACACAAATCCGGGGAATAGGAGCCCCGTGGAGAAGACCACAAAAACCAATAGAAGGCACACGTCATCGGATGATATCAGCCAATGATTTAATGATCTAATTGAGGTTAGGTCATTCATCTAAAAAAGATCAACGAAGTTGGTCGAAACTGTAGTGGCTAGAAGAAAATTTTACTGTTGGATTAGTACTAAAGAAAATCCATCTAAAAAAATTATTATTATAATTATTATTATTATTATCATTATTATTATTATTATTATTATTATTATATTTACCTCCATTCCCATGAATAAAAGCACTTTTTATAAATATAATAATACAAAGTTGTTAAAAATTGATTAAATTAGTTAAAACTATAGAAATTAATATTCTTTGGATATATTTTTGGTTATATTTTGTATTATGTATTTATTTTATCTTTATTTGTTGTGACACTTTCTTACAGCTGTGGTTTTGTATTGTTAAGTACAGCTGAACAAAAATAAAATAAATACAGTATTCTATAAGAATAAAAGAACTTAAAATATTGATGTCTTTAATAAAATTGTCAATGTATGATAATAAGGTACTATAGAGGCTTACCACGACCAAACTATTTTGCCACACATACAATAGGGTGTTAAATACAGTAGTACCAAATCCAGATAGAAATCAAGGTAATAAGTAGGTAGTAAGTATAATAACACAAAAACCACCAAAGAAAAACGAGAAAGCAGTATAAATTTACATACAATAACTATTCAGTTTTTCTTATCCGTAATTCTACCATTGAAGGACAAAGAGTCATAATACAACTATCAACTTCATACATTATAATATTTATTCAAACAATTAAAGAAGTGAAGTCATTCATGGATATCCCTGTTTGAGTAAAAAGAAAAATGATTTATTTCCTACTTGTGTCCTTAGGGAAAAATTTTAAAACACTTTGTTAGAAAATTTATTAATTTACTTCCTCCATCCAGAGGTATTTTCTTTTAGAATGACACAACATGGTAGTAATATAAACAAAACTGTAATAAATCATCAATTTCGTATGAATGTTCTGCAAAAAAATGATCATTAGTATTAAAGAAGCAATGTCTGACATGAGCAAAAAATATTTTTAATTTCTAATTTGAATTTCATAATTTGTACATTTAATTAATTTTAATCTACAATGAAATTGAATAAGACAAAGCATTTCCCTGTCAATTAATGTCCAAAGTAGGATGCAAACTGTTGTTCTATGTTGAATGTATTTCGTCTATGTGATGCACTGCATGCAAAGACCCCAGGTAGCAGAGCGTGTTGCATGTTTGCATGCCGCTCCTGGCCCATGGTTCGGATGGCAGAACCAAGTCTTCTCGGATAAGGACTTAAAATGGAGGTCCAGAGTATACAACTGGCTCGTGTGCACTTTAAAGAACCCATTGCATCTTTCGGAAGAGTAGGAGGTTACCCCGATGTTATGGTGCATTTCAGGGCCTTTCGTTGTGGAATGATGTGAACAGGTAGCTAACATAAAGCAAATTCTTTACGGCTGCTAGGTAGGATTCTTTGTTCCTGCTTCGTCAGGATACTTCATTAACAGTAGTCACGACCACGCCCATACACATAAGTTATGGGTTATTCTCCTACCTTTACCTTTATGCTTGCTGAATTGTGGCAAGCATAATGACCAGGGGATATTAAATAATGTAAAACAAGCTTTGATACTTTCTTGAAAATGAAAAACGCTATATAATTAATTACTAAAATTAATTTTTTTATATACAGTGCAGGTACTGGACTCACCTGGTATGAATGGAATACTCCTCTGTTGAGGATTCTTCGTTCCTGCTTCGTCAGGATACTTCATTAACAGTTTTACCTGCAACAACAAATATTTACCATAAGCATACACGTCAAACCTCATGCATTCGGCGTGAGACTCACGCATTCAAGGTCTCTCTCACACTCCCACGCCTAAGAACCAAAATCTCGCGCATAAATGTAATATTGCCTATAATAAAAAAATACATGTATAATTTCTAGCTCTCTCGCTAAATATTCACCATCTAATGTACTTAAAGTAGGATTGGTCTTGTTAACGTACATTCGAACACAAACAAATGGCGCACTATACCAGGGTTATGTTGGTTTTGCTTATCATTTTAGATCGTGGACGATAGAAATATGCATTCTCAAGGAAAAAATGCATGATTCCTAACAGATTTTCACTTGTTAATATAACTATAGAGTAGCAAAGAATGCATTTCTGGGAAAAACATTTGGGGGGGGGGGGGGAGATGGGATGCCCGAACACAAACCCCCATTTGGGGAGAGGTTTTAGAACAAAAGTCTCACGCCTGCAAATTAGTGCAACTTGACATGTATGCCTAAGTCCAGTCATAGTTGCTGCTAGAATAGAGAAGGTTGTTGTTTAAAGATGTCTTGAGAGGGACAGTACAAAGTGGGGGTTAGGGAGGTATTATGCAATGGTAAAGGGGAGTGGTAGATATCAAATGAATGCTACTGTAGAAGGAACATAAAACAGTGGTCTTGGGAGAGGTAGGGTGAGACGTGGTTAGGCTGTAGTCTAAAGTTTGATATCAGTGGTCTTTACAAAATACCCAGTCCACTTGATCCCCACATAAGAATAACAATTTCTTTTGTTCTCAAGTATCATCTTGTTATTACGAAACACTATTTTAAGAATTGAAAAATATAAAATACCTGAAAATCAAAGAAAGCACTGTAGCGTCTGTAGATAACATTGACAGAGCCATCAGACCAAGTTACATGAATCACATACACCTGAAAATATTTACAAGAAAACAAACCAATTATAATGACAATATAATGGTATATAAAGATAATGGTAAATTAACCCCACAACTTTAGGTAGACAGGATTACCAAGAAGTGACCCAAATCACAGATGTTATCATTAAAAATAATGATAATGAACATTACTTTACATTATTTAGCTGCCAATTAAAGAAAATGCAATTTATTATCAATAATTATAATAATACTAATAACACCATTACTAATTTCTAACATTATTCTATAGTTGAACTGATCATGGAGGAATAATTCCTCCATGAACTGATGGATGGAATTTCAATGACCACCATATTAAACCGTATTAAAGTAAATAATTTCCTACAGGTATTAAAAAATGGCTTTAAATAATACTCAAGAATTTACTGTACTTTAAATGATTTAAGTACCTCCTTAACATAATCTGAAACTATAGATATAAGTATGGTTATATCCAGGGTATTTTTTATTAAACCCAGTGACCATGTAGTGCAGCTGTTCTCAAATAATAGGTTGCGACCCAAAACTTGGTAGCCAAATTAATTAGAGGGTCACAACATTTTTCAGGATTTAGTTTTTAAATTAAATTTTATATCCTTCTTAAACTTGACTTTAATTTTAAAATCCTACTTCATTTTTGTATACTTAATGATCCATTTTGACAATCTGTGTTTCAACCTCTAGAGAAATGGGTCAAAGCAATTTTCGGTTTTTTGTGTCGTCAGCCAAAAGAACCATTGATGTAGTGAAAATATTAGATTGTACAAAATGTATAATTGATACAATATTCAAATATAGGAACACTTGAAGACTATATTAGGAATTATTCTATAAACTTTCACCACTACTGTCAATTTTTCAGGTGAAATGTCACCTACTGTCCGGAAAAAGCTATGGTTTGTGGTAATGACAAAAAAATGTCAGTCATTAAATATTCTTTATTGTTATCATGTAGACTATAATATTGCTATTCATGCAGCCATGTAAAATTAAAGTACAGGATTGGGTGTGTCTCTATGACTGTTATAATTTAATGCTTCATGCTCTGACATAGCAGTTTTGAAGAATTTTTATTTTCAATAATTTAAGCTGTTTTGATGAAAAAATATATGGCATGTTCAAACACAAAAGTTATCTGTGGATATTCCATGTAATTCTCCGGTACAAACATTTTCAAAACTCTAACAGTTTACATAATTAATATTAATCTGCAATGATTTTCAGAGAATACTTATGGAGAAATTGCACCCAAGTGAAAATAGAATTATTATACTGTATTGTAACAAGATAATTCAATAACTGGGTTGATAAAGAATGATAGGCAACCCCAGTTTTCTACATCAAACTACTTGGCCAAGAACCATACTCAGAAGAGGCTGTTGGTGTGCATTGAACAATGAATTACATAACTTTTAGCTGTTTGGAGAGACAAGAAGATAATAATAATATAAGTTTTTAATATAGTGCCCTATATTAAATCTCTCAGAGCGCTATTACACACAAAAGTGAACAAAAAAAATTAGATATTAAAAAGATGCTTTTTTAGGCAATCCTTGAACATATTCAAGGAGGTTGCTTTCTTAATTTAGGAAACTGGTTCCAGAAAGGTGCACTGGCAGAAAAATATTGAGAGCCATATTTTGTTTTAGATTGTACTGGTGTATAAAAATAAACAAATACTGTATAACAGGTTTTTTTTTTAGAGTTTACATACTCAGAGTGATAATACTGTTTCAGCTAAAGAAATTTCCATACAAAAATGACTCAAGACTATAATTCAATATGTGTGCAGTGTAACCTCTTCAACCCTCTGAGAAAGAAAGTTTTTCCTCCATATGGTTGCAATGTCTTATGTCTCTTTAGCGGAAGTTCACACTTCCTCCTTTGCGTCTGGTTTTTGTGTAAAATGTTATGGTATGTCAAAATTTACCACTATCATAGCGACCTTAGTGACTCAAGTTTGGTTTACGTTGAGATACGAAGATGTGTCAGCACAGGTCTCGCAATGTTGGACCTGTGGGTCGGCTTTGGGCCAGATTAAAATTAATTGATTGTTTGTTCACACTTAAAAAAAGCTGGTTCTGAGGCGGTCCTGAGCCGACGTGTAAATATCAAGTGTGATTGGGCTCTTAGTCTTACAAAAGATGGTGTGCTTTTACAGCTACAGTAGCAAAAAAACTAGATGAGGAAACAGAAATACCAGTAAAAGGAAACAAAGTTCTCCATGGTTCAACACACACACACAATGATCCTAGTCTAGCAAGAATATTCAGCATCCAAATATTATACATTCAAAACAATTTGGCAGTGTTGGCACGAGCGGGTGGGCCAGCTGGGACAAGACCTACCTGTTGGGTAGACCTGATCAAACCATCAGGAATTTTAGGTGAAAGCACACCTAAAGTTTAAATAAGAATTTTTAAAATTAAAAGCTTCCTGGTCTAGAAAGTTCCAATACCTTTGTGGGTGGACTATGTGCAATTCCACTTTAATATTATTACATAGTTTCTTGAAGCTAAACTAAATTCCTCCGTGCTTGAACCCTTTGACCCAATTTAAATAGAGGTTTGTTAAGATTTCAAGGCATGCAGATGACTGGATAATCCTTTTATTATGCATTTCTCATTATTTCTCTAATACCAAATACCTGAACTTGATAAATGAATCTCATCTAGTCTACTTAATGATATTTTACAATATTTTTTATTTACCTATCATAAAGAAAACTCTCTTAATATTCAAATGATAAATTCTACAAGTTTTTAAAAACATATTCTAAGCCTTTATTCGTCAGTTTGTTTCTAATTTAGTCTCTTTAGTAAAATTTGTGTCAAAATAACTTTAATAAATGATTCAGCTTTATTACGGATTCAATCAATGATAAAAAGATCAGAAATACTTCATCACAATAAGTTGTGACACGGATTTAAGGATGCTTTGAAAATTGCATTTTTAGATTTTAATTGATTTATGCCTCAGTGACACCATACAGATATAAGAGCCCAGGTTTGTTCTCAGTTGGTTACGTAAACTATTAACTTTGATCAATGGCATCACGCCAGTTAAATGGAAAATAATAATATTCAAAGGAAGGTAATTGATTATCTATGATTAAAAAATGCATTTTTAGTCTTCAAAAAATACTGTAAGGACCCTTTGTAGTACCTGCACATATTATCCCTGGTAGTTTAGATTCCCAAGATAAGACGTAAATTAAAATTATCAGCTGAAGGGTGTTATATAAACACACCTTGTGGTTTAGATTTATTCGGAATCACCTTTGTTGTATAGTTAGCACACATCACAATGATGGTGCATCCAAAGAAAAATCAATAACAATTAACTAAATATAGGCCTATACACGTCATCGGACCAAAAATAATAATCTGCCAATCCAAATAATACTATTTTGATTGCCAATCCCTAATTTTATGGTTTAATAGCAAAAAAATTGGCTGTAACTAAAACATAAAAACTTTCCCTGGGATATATATTTTAGGACCCACCTTGTCGGCAAATTTCTGGAACCACCAGTGGTTCCAAGTAACATTTTATCTCGTGTGAACTAAATACACTGTACTAGAGTTTCCAAAGTTTTATTCCATCTTTCATTGCCAAGTCGCTCACTGATGATACAGTACTAGATGCGAATGGAATAAAACGATATTACAATACAATAATTAAAAACATACTTACATAATGCTTACTTGGAACTCTCCGTTTCTCAGCATCGACTACCTTGGCTTCTATCACTGTCCTACGGGGCATTGTTCTACACTTGTTTTTCCAACTGTACTGACAATTGATAGTCCAGGTCTAAATAAAGAAAGAATAAAAAATAATTAAGAATGTGCCTTCCGTATATTTCTTGCAAAAAACAAGATAAAATATTATATTCTTCCTGAAACTTTAATTGGCTGGTAATACATTTAAGGATATTTGTAGTAAAACATCTGAAAATAAGCAAATACTAAATTATTGTAGGCATTTGATAAGAGTCTAATTGGTTGATGACTTACAGTCATTAGGCCCGTTCATATCCAACTATGGCAAGATAATTTTAATGGATGAGCATAAGTTTGAGTATGACCGCTCAAGTATGGCGAGATGAAGGCCACAACTCGACTAAGCCCGTCGAGTAAATTTATGTCGACTAACTTCTTAATCCAGCCTTAAGCCAGTAAACAATTAAACAGCGGGTGGCCACAGGTCATGAATACACCAATCAAATTGAAGCAAAGTGACCTTCCATGCTTGCTGGTTAGCGCGTTTTTAGTTACTGTCATAAACACCATTCAGAATTGACGCAGTCTCCCTGATCTGTGTACTTCAATTTCAACAAGTCTTATTTTGCAAATGATGGCCGAAAAGTCAGTAAAGAAACGCCATCTCTGGACGATGCGCAGGAATGCGATTTAATAGATATCTGGATTTGAAGATAAATTGTATCATCAAAAGGCTGGTGTCCACGAAAGGATAACAGAGAGAATGCAGAGAATAGCATAACATCGGCAATTGTTGTGAAAGTTAAAAAATCTAAGAGCAGACCACAAGGCTGAGAGAGACGTTTTTATTCGTGGGACGGGCAAGGGGTCGGCGAATGTAATAAGGGATGACCCGAAATCGGCATGCCCACACTACCACGCACTAAACGAAATACTTGGGGGAAAACCCAGTGTAAACCCTCCAGCTGGACTCCTCGGCCAGTCTAATCAACCG